AGTTAGTTATGTTTTCTAACGCTATTATGTATAGTACATTTTTCCTGAGCTTGAGCTGGCGATTATTTATCTAGCTAATGATTCTTATTTTTTATTGTATTTTGGAACTCTCATCTAAACTCTATGAAACTGTGACAGCCTTCTGGGAAGATCAATCTGAAATCTTTGTTTGAACAAGGCTTGCAAACCCCCGCACGGAAAGTGGGAAAAGAAACAGAAATCGGTTGTTCGCACTCCTTTGGGTGGCAGAAATGTGTATTTTTTCCGGTCTGATGTTTCCTTGTTAAAATTAAAATTAAAAAGAATTCTGAATCCCATCTTGATTTCCCTGTTCAGGTGACTTCGCATGGTTTTAGTTCCTCGGAACTAAAGTCCTCCATAACAGAGACTTCATTTCTCCTCACTTGTATAGAATAGAGAAAATGCTAATGAGAGATCGATTGTGCTGAGAAGACAGAAGAAAAACTCAGGGTGAACATGGATTTGCTAGAAAAACCTAACAAACAGTTTGAGTGAGAAATGAGGTTTACTGAAAAAAGACAACTCATTATCACAATGTCAGTGTGAAGAACAAACACTTAAATTGTGGGAGACCTAAGCCTAAAAAAGATGGAAATAACGAGCAATTCGAATGGAAGAGGAAAGTTGACACCAGAATAGGATGGCCCCTTAAAAGGATGTTGTTGTAATGTGTTTTTTTTCCCATCAAATCTTCAAACTTTTGAGTGAGTTCTGTAATTTCGTAATTGTAATTTAATCCAAATATTTTTTAAGTTATAATATTTAAAGGAGAGAGAGTCTTGATTTCCATACATATTTTGCTCAAAGTGATTATAAAGTGGGAGAGAGGAGAGTCCCTTCAATTGCCCTTTATGGGCTTTGCAGGAACGGGCCTTTCTTAAGATTTAACTTAATCTTGTAAGCCCACACCGTTTTGAAGGAAACCCAATCCCTACCCTTCCAACGGTCGAAAATATTTGATAAACGACTCCTCTATATAAAACACACAAATCCCTCTCGCAGTCTTCGATTTTTGCTTTCAAATTTCTCTAAAAAAAATCCTTCAAGAAAACCTCTCTCTCTCGAACAAACCCTAACTGTTTCTTAAAGCAGAGCATGAAGAGAAATATTTCTCATCCAGTTTCACTTATATGGTATAATAATTCGTGCTCTTGAAATCTTCTTTTTGTAGGTATGTTTTGTTTCTGTTCAATTTAAGGATTGTTATTGTTTTTGCTTAATTTCCAGTTTTAATTAGATTTCTTTGTTAATGATCTTTTATCCTCTATTTGTTTTGTCTTAAACAAATCTGTACCAGTAATTTGACACATGATTTTCAAAAAAAAAAAATTGCCCATTTTTATTTCTATATCTTTAATCTAAGTTTAATTTATTTTTTTGAACACACACACACTAAAAATCTTGAAAGGAAAAAAAGTAAGATTATCTTAGAGATGGAAACTGCAATTCAGGCAACGAACAATTACTACATTGTAATATATTTTTTGTTTTTATATTTCTTGAATGAGTGTCTGATCCTCTGTGCTTCTCTTCTTTCTTGCTTTATATTTTTTTTTTTGAAAAAAAACTCATGGTCATGAATTCCTAAAATCATAGGTTTAGTCTTGTTTCTCTCTAATTTTCAAACTTTGTAGGTAGTTTTAGTAGTCGGTAAATGGGTATGCTTTCCGTTTCTTTCATGTTTAGTGATTTTTTGAATTTGGTGATAAATGCCTAGTTGTGCAGGAACATGACCGTCAAGTTTTCAGGTTCTTCCCCGATTTACTATATATTTTCTTTGAGGCATGTTGTATATATTTGGTTTAGTAATCAAATTTTCAGCTCAAGTAACAACCTACGTAATGATTCTTGTTTCAGAGTTTTCAAAATTATGTTCTAATGGTCTTTTGCGCTTTTGTTTCGTATGCAAAAATTCGTCGTATCTTGTTGCGTATGTTTTCTGATTTAAAGAAGACAGTAGACAGACAAGATGGGCTTCAAGAAATCTGCTACAATAATCCAATTTGCTACCAGAAATGTTTTTTCTTGCTTTATACTAAAGTAGTATTGATGGTCATAAACTGCTATTTCATTGTGTGTGCGCATTGTCTATTCTAGAGAATATTCATGTAGGATTATTGTCTATAGTAATAAGTAAAGCCTCAGTTTAGTTTTCAATTATGCAAAACCTATGGACAAAGAACTATATCGAAATGAAAGGGTCCCTCCCCTCGATATTGTCATTCACCACTTTAAAGAGGCTATCATGCTATTCAAATTTATGTTCTTTTTAGCACTCCAATTTTCTTAGTATTCAAACTAGTGAGAGAAAATTAGAGAAGTCAAGCTTGAGTGAGAAAATTTGACCAAAGAAAAATATCTTTGTAGAATGCTTGGTTAGTTTTTTTATCCTCTAAGCAAGTTTCAGAATCATACTTGATTCAGAAAGAGTTTGAATACTAGAACAGACTTAATGAATACTGTCTTGATTTTTGTCACTAAGAAAGCATAAATAAGCTGCTAGTATATCAGACAAATTGCACTGATTTGGAGAATTAAGCTATTGATTAGCATGTTGATCAACATTTGGTAGTACCTTTTTTTCCCCTCTTTTTGTTCATTTCTTGCACAACTGTTCTGTCATCTTCATTTGACAGACTTGCTGAAGAGACATTGAATGGGAAAAGAACCACAAATATGATTCATAAATTTATGATAAATGAATCTTGAAATCCTGATATAGTGAATATAAACTAATCTACTTTGCATTTTAGGTTGCACTAGAAAATAACAAAAAAGGAATGAAACTTGAGCCTCACTTAACACACATCATTTCACTTGAAAAACAAAAAGAATTACATGTTACTATACCACTTTGTGGCAACAGGTATTTGTTTGCTTAGTTGGTAAGGCTTCTCACTCTTTTAGTAAAAAAGAGTTGGGTGAATCTGGTTGAATAGAGGAGTCCAAAGTGGATGGATGATTGATGCTCTGAACAATACTTCATGCAGATGAATATATGTACGCATCTGTGGTAAGAATAATGAAGTTGCTTGGCACTCCTTGATATATATATTGCATTGTGAGATCTAGTTTGCATTAACATAATGAAGATGCCACATAGAAACTGATTTTTCTCCTCTTTGATTTTGCTATTTTGGCGAGCATGTTGAGAATATATGTAGGATAGTATTTTATATGTAATCAGTAGTAATTTTAGGCTTATGGGCTTGGTTTCCATAATCTGTTTTCCTTTTGTTAAAGCCACCTAGCTCACACCATTAACCAACTCACTTGAGAATTAAATGTTTTGGATAGAAATCACCATGAATTGAACAGCATATGATTTATTTCCATGTATACTCGGTGGTTTCATTGCAATCCTCATTTTTCATATCTGTAATCTGTTTTCATACTTGGTGGTTTCATTGCAATCCTCATTTTTCATATCTGTAATCTGTTTTCCCTTATTTTTGTTAACCTTCACACTCGTTATTTTTTCCTTCTTTTCTTTGCCCACCATAATACCTGGTATTGATTGGTCAATTAGAAAGTTGGTGCTACATTCTCACAAGTCAATAGATCTTCTTGCAATAAGGGGGTGCTGAATTTAACTTGCTGACTTATAGCATCATATCATTTGATAATATTGTCTTGGATGAATTTGAATGAAAGTTTGGATGATCATGGCCAACTTGTATTCCCTTTCGTTTCAAATAATTGGTCTTGGTTGATCTACTTCCATGTACACAACATCTTTAGGTAATCCAATTCTTGCATAGTAGCAATATCTTGTTTCTCTATTCAAATAGCTTGGATCATGGACAGCTTATTCATGATAATATTGGTTTCAAAGTTGATAAAAAGGGAATACTTTGTAGGCACCTTTAGTTTCTTTTCTGATTTATGAGCATGGTTGGAGGAAAAAGCACATTGTAATGAAAGGTTCATGTGCCATGATTTAGTTATTCATAACTTGCATTGAGACTGATCACATGATTCTAAATTTATGTTCCTTTGGCACTTCAATATTGTAGCCATCAAGTAAGAAAGACTTAGAGAAATGGACTTTGAAGATTAATTTAGAGAAAACTAAAGCTTGGGTCAAAAAACGTTACCTGTGAATAAATTTCTTTGTAGAATGCAATGCAATTTGGGTAGCTTTTGTTAATCATCTGAGCAACTTTTAGAATCTCATTCGATTCTGAAAAAAATAATGAATACTCTCTGCTTTCTTTAGGCAATGAAAAATCGAATAACCAGCCAATATATTACACAAATTTGACTGTTTGGGAAACTTAAGGTACTGATTAGGATGTTACTTAGCAACACATTCTGAATCCTCAAATATGTGCAATTTCTTTTGCTTTCTTCAATCCATTTGATCATCATTGTTTTATGATTTTGCAATCATCTTTATATTGAAAAAGAATGTGGTGTTGATATCTCAAATCATGGATCGCAGTTCAATTTTTTTTGGAGGACATGCTGCAAAGACACTAACATGGAAAATGAACCTGAAACTTAATCCTCCTGTTATAATGAAAAGAAATTAATCTTTCTTGTAGTCTGGTGTGAATCTTCAAGTTGCACAAAAACACAAAAAAATTATATGATTGTGCTCAAGGGTGAGTAAAAAAAACCGACAAACCAATTAAACTGGAAAAAAATAACTGAAAAAATTGAATCATGGAAAAAACCGATTAAACGGATTAGAATATTTAAAAAAAAACTAGTTTGGTTCAGTTTTGGTTTCATAAGCCTGAAATCAAAAAACCGAACGGAACCGAACCGGTTTAATTAAGAAATAAACCAAACCGAACAAATCAAACCGAACTGAAAAAACCCACTAGAAAGTCCAAAAAAGCCCAAAAAACAATATAATTGTCAGTTTTTAACATAAAATACCCAAACCGATCCAAAACCGAATCAAATAGAACCGAAACCAGTTGGTTGGGTTTCGGTTTTTAATTTAAAATAACCAAACCAAACCGAAACCAGCCTGCTTTCACTCTAGCCTTGCACACATTTCATTTCACATTCTTTTAACATGCATGACTGTATACCTCTTTCAGCAACTATTCATAATTCTTTGTGGTAATGCTTCACTCTTTTGGTTTTTTTTTTTTGATGAATGAGGTTTGACATAGGAGCCAAAAGTGGAGGAAGATTGATACTCTTAATAAAACTTAATGCAGACAAACCAAACTGCATTCATATAATGAAGACGATATGTAAGGAAGTAAGTTTTCATCTCTTCGATTTTTCTAGATATGCAGAGACTTAGGCTAGTTATGTAGGATAGCATCATTTCTTTATCTCTATATTTTCCTTTTGCCGAGTCTCCTCCTGATCTATGCCATAAAAAATCACTTTAACAATTGATTTATAGACTATGATTTGTTACAAGATATACTCGGTGATTTCAACATCTATAATCATCACCTCTCGTATATTCATTACAGCTACAGATAGCATTAACCACGTCTTTTATTCTAATATTATTGCATTTTGATTCAATATCTTCTGGAGTTGTCTCCATCAACAAGGCTGTTGGGCTTAATTCAACATGTAGTTTGTGCTTGTGTTTTGTTGTTGCTTATTCAGAGTGCTGATGAGTCAATTCGAAAGCTGATGCTGAATTCTCACAAGTCAACGGATCTTCATGAGGTAAGGGGTACTAAACTCAACATGCTGACTTAGAAAGCATTATATTATTTGATAATATTGTCTTGAATGAGAGTTTGGATGATCATGGCCAGCTTATACTCCATTTGATTTCAAATAATTGGTCTTGGTTGATCCATTTCCATGTATTTAACGTGTCTAGAAAATTCAATTGTGAAGTAGCAAGATTCAATGGGGAGGAGGATTCCATAAATGGAACTAGGATAATGTTACTGTTAGTGCCAGTAACGTGTGATAATTTTCTCTTGAATGGGTTGTAAATATCGGCCGGGTCGGGGCCTTGTGTGTTTGTGCTTCAACCAAGTCAATTATTTGAAACTAGTTATTGACTGGGCTACATGGTTTCGATCGAGCATGATGAGCCACTGGAGATATGAAAGTGAAGACACAAATGGAGAAAAAGCTCAGGCTGGGAAACTATCAACGTGTAGCCCGTCATTACATGGGATATAAGATGGCCATTTTTTTATTTTTTATTTATTTTCCTGGCATGGTTTTAGCAATGATAACTTGGAAACTTGATAGCTAGCATGTTTTCACGGTCTATAGATGGTTTAATTCTGTGTCATGATTGAGTATTATTTATGTTTCGCATTATCTTTCACCAATTTTATTGTAAAGAAAAACACATACTCTATCTTAGTATTTAATACTTTATGGGATGACTAGGTATCAAGTTTCCAACTTTATAGATAAAACTAGACGTGGAACCGTTGTGGGGCTGGATATTTTTTTCCCGTAAAAAACTGATGTTAAAAAATATATTAAAATTCTTTTCTTTAAAAAACATTGACCATATAGAAAAGGTCAAGGTAATTTTACTTGCTAAATTCATGATTTAAATAAAATTAAAATAATTCAATAAAAAAAAATTACAAAACCTTGTTTAAAAAAAATTGATATTGAATGACAAAATAAAATAAATCATAAAGTTTTTTTAAAAAAAAACAATGTTGAATAGTAAAATAAAAAAAATAATGTCAACACTTTTAATTTTTAAATTTATGATATGGGTTATTAGACCATAAGACTAGAAGCATAATGTTGAAATTTAATTTTCAATCAATTAAATATTAAAAAAATTAATTATATTAAAGGTTCCAAAACAAAAAATAACAATTACAATAATGATGATATGACAATTATAATTTTTTTTAGTAAAGGGTGAAATTGAATCATCCTATCTAGAAAAATGATGAAAATTAATTTTAACCAATTAAATGTTGAAAGATGAAATTAAAAAAATTAATTATATAAAAGGATTAAAAATTATAAAAAAAAATAGCAATTAAAAGAATAATTATTAAATTGAAAAAAATCAATTAACAACTCCTAATTTTTAACTAAAGGGCAAAATTAAAAAGATCAAAAGAATAATGATCAAATAGAAAAGAATAGCATATCACAAATTAAAATAAAAAATAAATCAAAATTTTACAGAAAAAAGTATATAAATGAAAAAAGATTAAAGTTATCACAAATTGAAATTGAATGTTGAAACTGAAAATAAATTAAAATTTTACAAAAAAAAAAAATAAAAAAAACTAAAGTTATCACAAATTGAAATTGAAGATAAATAAAAAAAATTTTAAAAATAGAAAGAAAAAAAAGAGTAAAGTTGTCACAAATTAAAATTGAAATATGAAATTCTACCACATAAGTTTTACAAAATAATAATAATAATAAAGTAGATATCTAGGCTAGAGAAGAAATCTGAAATCATGAATTGCTAACATGAATTTCAAAGGAAAAAGAAGAAAGAAAGTGAATCTTAAAATGAAGATCAGACGCTGTTACATTTTAGGTTGGCTAGGGCAATCTGTCGGTTGGTGTTCAAGTGTCAACCCACTATGGTTTCCTTCCTAATGCTTGCCATCTGCTCCTGCTGGGTTCCATTCGATTGAATTAATATTATGAGCTATAGTTTAAGATATATATATATTTAATATGTTTTTTTATTTGCAGCTAATTTAGGAAAATAAAGGAAAGAAATACGTGGGATATGAAAACAACCCTTATCAAGGTTACTAAAGTTGTTTAAGAATTTATAATAATACATCGGTTAGATTATATATCATTCACACCCTTATTATTTTTCACTTAGGTTCTTTCTCAATAAAATTATCAAATCATGTTACATAATCTTTAAATTTTTCTTTAAGAGAAAAACCAAGATTTTCAATTGAATAAATACTTGAAATATAAATTATATTACATTTAAGCACATTATTATATTTTGTGTTGTTTCTTTATCTTTATGACACCATAGATGTGATATAAAATGAATTTGATTTAAGAAGGAAATAATTGAAAATATATGAATTATTATTATTATTATATATATATGGAATTTAAATCTTAAATAGATTAAGACATGATATACTCATGCAAATATAAAAATAATTGGGACGGTCAAATTGAAAGAAGATTTTTCTTATTTATACATAACTAGATATGCTCATAAGTTTTTAAGTAAAAGAAATATTTCAAAGTTAACATTTTAAGAAAAGTCACATAACATGTATATGATTTCTTAAAAAAAAATGTCCACATCATCCTTTATCCACATTTATTTGGAAAAAAAACAAATTTAAAAAATAAAATAAAATGAAAAAGTCACTCAACTGAGTTACAATACAATAACTCAAAATTAATCATTTTTAAATCACAAAGAATTGTTCACTTAAAAAACTTATTTTGATTTTTAGTAAGTTTTTTTATTTTGTTTTCATAATTTAGGTTGTAGATTTGACTAGTTAACTTGATTTTTTTAGTTGAATTTTTTTTAATTTTATCTTTAATTTTTAATTAATTTGGAATTAAGAATTTAGTTTGTTTTCTTTGATATTATTATAATTTTATTACTTGGATTATAGATTTAACAAGTTTAACTGAATTTTCAAGTTATTTTTTTATGTCTTTTGTATAATTGATATTTTTTTCACTTTTATCCTTTAACATGTAGTTAATTGAAAATTAAGTTTTATAATTTATTTCAACTTACTTTTTATAAAGTTATCACCATCACATGATTTGAATTATAGGTTTGATAAGTTAATCTAAGTTGACTAGAGTTGTTTGTTTTTTGATCTTTTTTTAATTGATTTTTTTTTTAAATTTCATCCTTCAATATTGGATTGATTAAGAATTAAATTTTATAATTTTTTTTTATTTATTTTTTTATAGGGTTATCTCTATCTCAAGTTTCAAGTCACGAATTTAACAGATTAACTTAAATTTACTTTATTTATCTAATATATTTTTATCTAATATATTTTTATCTTTATATTTCAAAAAAATGTAATCTTAAAGTTTTTGTTTTTTTGGTCAAACTTTATATTTAACACCCATTCAGATTATCTCTTCAATTTATCAAGTTATTAAAATCACATCAAATCAATTTTTACACTATTTAAATTTTTCCTTCTCCTCGAAAATAAGTTTGCAACACCTTAATAAATTTTTACTTTAAAAAATAAATTGATTTGAACAGTAAGCGGTCTAAAGAGATAAGTCATATAAAGAGAAATCATACAAAGTTATTCCTGCTTGAATATTCGAAATTTTGTTAGACAATCTGATATGAACAGTAGTGTCTGGTTCGCACCAAAAACCATACAGAAATAGCGTTGGGTTCCAGCAATAATTGATTCCTATAAAAAGTGGAGGTCAAGTTTTTATTTCAAGTTCCAAGTCTGCCCTTTCCTTTATTCTTTATTACTTCTTTGCATGCATCTTATCTTATCAGAATATAGTTCCTGTTGCAATGCCTACATCACCATATTTTATCACCATGTATGCCTGTAACAAGATTTATTACAAACACAACAAATTGAAGGCGCAGAAGCTTACTCCAGAGTTGTTGAGGGTCTCTTCAGGTTTTTTTTCTTCTGAAAATGTGAAGAGAAGTGTATCTAATATCACGTGGGTGAGGTATCACATTCAGGTCTATATATTCTGGCATTTTAATCTCCATTTGGCATCTGAGAAAAGATGAAGGAAATTCTAGAAACTAACTTAACTTTTTGAGTTTATTTTTTAATAGTCATGAATTTAAGTCTTTTCAGGGCTATCAGAGACTTGTATAATTATTAATTTTGAAGCGAGATACAAGCAAACTTATAAAGTCATCATCCGTGCAATAGTATCCAAAGAACACATGCGGCGGCAAGAATCAAAAGGGTACAATATCACATGTAATGTTGGATTCGGAGGAACTTCTACTTCTACTGCAATCATCTCTTCAGCTTAACTATTTCTTTCAAGTTGTATTTACATAGACGGCACCCTCACGGAAATATTCAGCTTGAGAGAAATAGTTAAGCTGGAGGGATGCTTCCACTAAAAGTAGAAGTTCCTCCAAATCCAATATTACGTGTCCAGCATGACATTTCTCGTTGGGATATTAGACTAATACCAGAGGGTCTCCATATCTATGTGCATCGGCCTGGGTACACCCACCATGGTCAGTTCTTCCTTTCATTCTGACACTTCTCTCGTCATTTAATTTGTTCCAGACTCCAACAATTTTTATCAAAAATATATGCTTAATTTATGGCAGGAATATATATAGGCGATGGGAAAGTCATTCACTTCGTAGGCCCGAAAGCCGGACCCACAAGGGCTTGCAAAAAATGTGGCTTCTCAAGAAATACGGGCCATGGAGTGGTGGAAACTTGTCTTGAGTGCTTCCTCGATGGAGGATCCCTCTGTCGATATAATTATAATGTGCCCAGAGTAAGGCTTCTTATCACTTTTCATACCATGTGCCCTAATTGCACCACCACTGAGAGATTGGAATCGGGGAGGGAAATTGTTGCGACTGCAAAAGAAAAGTTGAAAGAAGGTTTCGGCAAATATAACCTCTTGTCTAACAACTGTGAGCACTTCGCAACATTCTGCAGTACAGGAACTGCCTTCTGTCAGCAAGTTAAATATACAGCAGAACTTGCTGCATTCCCTGTTCTGCCGCGACCTGTTGGTTTGCTTATGTTTTACAGGGACCTCATTTAAAGACTTTGGATGTTAAGAGGATGACAAGAGGGAAAAAACCATTTCAAGTGTCTGTCTAGCATCATAATTAGCAGCACTTCATCATCATGTATTACTCATAAATCATACATTCTAGCATGCACGAAAACACCTGGCTATAGCCAGGTCCCTCTCCCAATCATAGAAGGAGAGGTTTGTACGTAGCTTGGTACATGGCAAGCTTCGCATATAATAAAACCATTATAATTTACCTACTCTCCTCTTCTTTCTCGATATCATGTTCTCTACTTTACTAGTAGTGTCCAAAGAGACCTACGTGTGTAAACAGAGGAGCTTAAGGTTTTTTCAAGGACTTGTTATGGCATCGGTTGGCAGCTTGTCTCGCGAAATACCTACATTTTTTCATGTATATTTGTGATAAAAATATCCAAGCCACCCAAACCTCATGATATCTTCATCGAGCACTTACAGATACTCCTCTCCTTTTCTTTTATTTTCTTCATCTTACTTTGATCCTCCTCTAGAAATTGTAACACTCTCCATTATCAAATGGCATGTCGACTTCAAATGAAGCAGTTTTTGTTCTTCTTTTGGTATGGAGTTTTTGGTTTTCATTCTCCATTTATTTTTATCTCTAAAGTCTCACTTATTCTCTCCTATCTTATTATATTTTTTACTCAAATTATAATAATGAAATAACTTTATAAAACTTAATTTTCAATCAAATCAAATATTAAATAACAAATAATTATATAAAAAAAACTAAAAAAACTTAAATCAACAAAATTAATTCGTAAAATCTACTATCCCAATCATAAAATTAAAATAACTTAAATATATATATATATATATATATACAAAAACTAAATTCAAAGCTTAAAAAATAAAGAAGAAATATTAGGAAGGGAAGAGGAATTTCATTGAATTAAATTAAATGGGTTTCAAACTTCCTTTTTGTAAAATAGAATTAAAGTTTGCAAGGTCCGGTCTGCTGTGGAAAAAATGTGGCGGATGAAATTTCAATTCCTAAAATACCTTTTGAATTGAACGATCGAGAGCAGAAAACCATCAGTTCATATAGAGAAGGCCAACGAGAGAACGAACCCATCAAAATTGGTACAGCAGGCACCTATAGTGACCATTTAGCCAACCATTTAGCCAAATAAAAATCAAAACACTTTAAAACCTGACCATTTAGCCAACCAAATAAAAATATATATATTCAAATAAAAAACCACTTCAAAAAAATCAAAACAAATCGAGTAAAACCTGACCATTTAGCCAACCATTTAAACAAGAGTCCAAGAACCTGCAGATATGCTCAGAGAAGATAACAGGAAATTAATAAGCTGCTCATACATCTCCATTCACAAAAAACAACTCAGTTCCAACAACTGCCCTTTCCTCTACAAAGCACACACAATCCACAGGACCAAAAGGCAAGAATAAAACTAAGATGGGTTACTGGAAGCCGAAGCACCTTAATAGTGACAATTTTCGTCCACAAATGAAGCTATCATAGAAATATGGCTGAAGTTGCACAAGAATTTAAAACATTCCATTGGCAACGCCATGTGGTCCAAGCATAATGCACATGAAGAATCTAACTTATGTAATTTGTCTAGCCAAGAATCTAGAGAAATGTAAGGTACAACTACAGCATGCTTAATTGATTATTTGGTGATAATATCATCCAAGTTCGCTGAGGAAACCAACTCTGCAAAGTACAGGTCATATCAACAAGGGAACCAACTCAGAGCTGCTGCCTAGTACCCATAGCTTGCACCATACATTGAGCCATATCCCCCAGCATGGCCGCTGTGTTCTGGATTGGATGGTGGAGAAGCATACACTGAACTGTGAGAATAAGGATTGTAGCCTTGGTCTGCGGCCCCACCTGTTTGAGGCTGTGCTGGGGCTCCAGCTTCAGCCATGAAATTCTGCAATAGAAGAGTACACCATCAGAATCCAATCAAATGCATATACACTATAATTAATGCAAATCAACAGCTGGGATCTCCAGCTACCGTATTTAGCCCAACTATTAAACATGAGATTTCTTATATTAGAAAAACAGAAGATTTTCTTTATATAAATGAGAATAAGAATGAGTCAACATCAGCAATTTCCATCCAGTAAACGATCACCCGAACCAATCACTCTGTCAGAAGAACAATTTTTAAGCCACTTGGCTGGCATTCATCATCCATCAGAACTTCAATCTTTTTCCACTCTATCTTCTTTCATTGAACTTGTCATTCATGATACAACAATCACTATCTAGCAAGCCAAATAATCTTGGCCACAGGCTCCAATTCAAATGATGAAGACATGATTAAAAGCACACCTCAGTGCACATGGATGTTTAAAAAGGAAATTGTAAAGTAGGTTCTTCCTATTATACAAAATCTGCTCCTATTTAGTGACAAACCATCCTGCATCAACTTCACTTTTCCCAACCTTGAAACACTAATCAATTTACATGTATATATACGCTCTGCAGAACAGATGCCATGAACCTTAACAAATATTTTAAGACATTCCTAGTAGATACCACAATATAATGACAAGGTGGTCCTGCCGCACAACCAGCAAAGCAAATCAGATATTATATTGTCCATTTGACAAACGACTCATTATTTAGCTTCAGTTTGTAAACATCCTTATTAAGCCTAAAATTAAATTATACACTAAACATGAATAAATGCGGGATTATACATAATAAATAAATGCAAGCCTTGTCAAAATCTCATGCAAGCAATGCCCATTCATATACAATCAGCAGTTTAGGAAAAAATGCCACCAAAATAGGATACATCTAGTAAAGAGAGGGGAAGATCAATTGCGCTAAAGCATGAAATATTGCCTGTATCAGCTGCTGAGCTGTTTGGACTTGAGAAGCAGTTCCACTGATTTCAACTGTCATTGCCCCAGGAACACCTCTAGTTTCTTGTATAGTAACAGTTGCCCCACTAGCACGTCGAATGTAGCTTATACTTGCACCAGCTGTCCCAATAACAGCATCAGCATATGATAAAGGGATTTGCATTTGTTGTGTAATCTGCACAAGAACCCACAAAACCTGTCAGTCATTTTGAAACCTCAAAAAGTGCGGATGAGTGCCAGAAAGAAATACAAAATGAGATTATTTGGCTTGCAATCCAGTAAAATAGAATCACTTCATTTGCAATGAAAGAAGAGCCCGAGAAATATTACAAACCCATCCCAACCAATATAATACCAAGGAAAAATGATTGCATAACTCTTCTGTATGTGATTTATATTAAAAGGTCTCTAATTCCACTCCATCAAATCTGGGATGTAAAATTACTATATGATATCTTTTATGGAAAGCTATAGTACCAGTGGGCAATGTGAGGGGAGGAGGGAGAAGGAAAACAAAGAGAATAAAAGAACCTGTGTGATCATTGATGGTGCAGCTTGGGCATTTGATGAAGCATGGCTACCCATGGGAGCTTCTCTTCCATATGCAGATATACCCTGGTGAGGTTGTTTTTCCATTGGAGGTGGCATGTCAGCAGGAGGGTAGTAATTGTCAAGCTGTCGCGGAGGTGGCATATATTGGGGATTTTGTCCATAACCAGGCCCTCCACCATGATTTGGAGGAAGGGGTTGAGGTGGACCCCATGACTGATGTGGTGGCATCTGCTCCATTGAAGGATTCGACATTTGCATCTTGTAAATTATATAAATCAGAATTTCATCAGAGCAGTCATGCCATAATAGGTAATGTCATTCCAATCTTAATGAAGAGCAGCTTACTTGCATTTCAAATAACGGAATTATACTTCGGTCAACTAAAAACTTCCTGAGATGAGATGCAATTAACTCCACTGCTTTGTGCACTCCAGCTGCTTCCCCCAATACTTCAACAACCCTATCATCTTGAAGAGCAAAAACTGGAAGGTCTTCTGCAGCAGTTTAATTAAAAAAAAAAGAGAGATTAGACATGTAGATAAAATTCAGAAATAAGTTGAGAGAAGTATCTGAATCCAAACCATGAGGACTTGTAAAACAAAATGAACATATGGGGCATTAAGATAATCAATTATTAAGATTAGTTTCATAATAAACGGCAGAAGAGGGGTAAGGGCAAAACAGTCCACTACATGAGCATCCTCAAATAATTTCGCCACACTTTTTTTAGCGGAGAAGGTGGGACCTTAAAAGAAAAGAAAGGTAGATAGGTCAGATAGATGTTCCAGATCTTACAAAGGAATCATGAACCTCAATAATAAATTACACAATCCTGAACCTCAGAAAAAAGAACTGCTTGTGGTGGTCATTGATTAGTTATTGAAACCAACATCATCATGATACCACTATAAATAACCAACAGTGATACAATGGTGGCGGAGGTGGGGTGAACAGCTGAGCTAGAGGCATTGTCGGTAATGGTTTGGTTGAGACATTATAACAAATTGGCAACAAATACTAAAGGCACACATTACAGAGGTAAGTTAAAAAAGATGAAGAAATGCAAGGAACTTAGTTAATGATGGACTTGGTTCACCTCTCCATAACTCAGAAACATGATTTGTAAGTTCAGAGCATGACAACTACATATTTCAGATAGTTTCTATTTCCAAAGAACTTGGTTAATTTTCCATTACTGAATTAGTTGCAATTATAACACAATGAGAAAAAAAAGCACTTGCATCCAGTAAAGCATAATTAACAGAGCATGGTTTTCTGAAAAATGGAATGAATTCTAAAAGACAGCCATTGATTATGGCTTCATCATGACAAACAGCAATAGCTTAATTCAAGAAAACAGATAACAAAATGAATTTTGAATCATTTCAAACTCAGAAGCAAAAGGGGAAAACCTGCACCAAGAACTCTAACTATGCAAGCTGATGCCTCTTGGATGGATTTAACAGTTCCCCCTTGTTTTCCTATCAAACTTCCAGCTTGTGAGGCTGGTACTAGCAGCCTTGTCGAAACCTTAGCTCCACTGCTTGGTGGAGCATGAGAAGAATCACCCTCCAAACCATCAATAATGCGTTTGTGAACCCTCAGTAGGCCATCCATAGCAGGAGGAAGAGAGGAATCAGGCTCCTCCTTGGCAGATACCATTACCTATAAAACAAAGTTAGTATAACAAACCAAGGAGAAAAATTATGACTCGAGTCCAAGAACACCTCAAGGAATGAGGAAAATGAAATTAGATGGAGCAACAAGTGAGAAAAATTAAAGATAAAAACAATGAAACAACTCTTTCTAAATAACATTTCAAACAATATGGTATCTCATTGTATGAAATTTTACAACTAAATTAGAGTTTCACCACAACCATTGCCTGTTATTCCCCTATTCTCCTCCTCTAGGGAATAATGAGTCCTCAATTTTGTTGGCGCGCATGCACTATAAATTCTCCACCTGCTCCTCTGTTTGCCATGATATCAAATCTAATGCATAACATTTGATCATTTTCCCCTCCTAACATGTAACTAAGGGTTACTATTACACTTCACTTAGATTTGATTCTTAATTTTTTTAACCAATAAAAATAAAAAACATAATCATGGATTGACAAGTTTCAGCGTATTATTTACTAAAGTTGACCAAATTTTTTGTTGCTTTTACTTTTTAGTCGTGGAAGTATATTATAACAAAGTTAGATTAGCACTTTGATGTTAACATCTTCTGCATCCTCTAATGTTGATTAAAACAGGTTCCTTTGTGGTGTTTACAAGCTGCGGCAGAAATCAACCATGCAGTTTCTGAAGTTACCAGAAAGATTGCAGAGCTTCATGGAACTGTTGTTCGTGTAATATGTCTGTATATTCAAATCAACTTTTCAGCACTTTGCAATGCTCAATCCTGATCCCAGCAATCTGGATCTTTGGTTCTTCAAATTTGGGATCCTAATGATGGTTGATACATTGCTTAAAAAATTGCGGACAGAACCTGCACACATTCATTTGTCATTGCAATAAAAGTATTTCTGTTGTACTTCTCGATTTCTTCTGACGAGGCTTCCTTTTTGTCTTCTTTTCAACTACGCAAACTTTTACAACAATGATTCATTCAAAGTTCAATGATCATATCTTAGGTTCTCTTCAAAATTGATTTCTTAATTCCCAATCAAATGTTGTACCTTTTGGAAACAGAAATGCTTAAAGGGTGACAGAATAATAAGCAATATTTCCTAGAACTCTCCCTCTTAATATCATTGCAAAGGTACAGATAGATACATAACTTGGATATCCATAGAAAACAAATGACTGCCATGAAAAATACTAAACAGTGGCAAGAACACAAGGGGTTGGATGAGAAACAGTTGAATCAGATATCCAAACAATTATAGATCAGAATTGTGCCACTTGCACAGATTTTAATTTGGTTTACCAATGATGCATAGAAGCTTTACAACCTCAACTTGAAATGTGTGTTTTAATTATCAGTTCCATTTTCTTCTATGTTTTAATAATTAGAAAACTCCTTAATAGAAGTTATATTTACAGCTAAGGAGAACTTTATAAGCTTAAAACTTCGTCAATCTCTTTGAAATATGCTAGCTTCTTTGTTATGGGTTTAAGTCAATACATGAAATTAAGCTTGCCTTATCAATCTCTCTTCCATAAACAAGCTTCCTTTTGTAATTGATGTTAATATAGCTCAAAGCACAGATTGATGATCATGTGATCCAATCACAAACAAGTTTTAGTGGCATCCGCCAAATTCCTATTAAAAATATCACAGTTGTCATAGATAGATGGCCAAACTTGTAATATTACAACACAACCAGCTAACCCTGAGAAAATATTCTGCAATGCCTGAAAATTGCCTCCATGTTCCAAATTATCAATTTCTTAAGAGGGAAAGCAAAACATGAAAAGAAAAGAAAAACAAAATTAAAGCATGCTATGATAGATTCAGTTGATATATGAATGATATATCAAGGGAGGTCTAACCATCAAACACTTTGCATCAACAAATTATATCCAACCATCCTATTTCTATATTTTCCAGATAACCTAGTTGCGCAAATAAAAGATAAGAAAAACTTACAGCTCTTTCTGCTGTCCCTGGAGGACCATCAAGTATCTTAATGCGAGCTCTTGTCTCCTCGACTATCTTTTTAATGAACTCCCCTTTACGGCCAATGATACTGCCTACTTTTTGAGCAGGAACCAACATCCGAAACACACTCTCTCCAGGCCATCCAGGCCACCTCTTCTCACCCCCTCCAGAGACTGTATCCTCATCATGTCCTTGCTTTGAAGCCTCATTATTTTCAGGCACTTGATCTATAGCATTATCCATGTCATGGTTTACAGGGTGATCCACATCATGGTCTATAGAAGGATCCACATGATGATCTGTAGGGTGATCCATGTCATCATGCTCTACCGCCAATCCAGGACCTGTGATGTGATCCACACTATGATCCACAGGAGGATCAGTGCCATGATCCAATCCAAGGTCAGTGGAGTCCAAACCATGGTCTACAGGATGATCAACACAATCAGCAGCAGGATCCACACCATGAACTGCAGCGTGATCCGCTTCATGCTCACCAATGCCTTGATCAACATCCGCCATGAGATATGCACTGTAAGAAAGCAAGAACATAGTTTATAAACCCAACCATCCAAATTATATAGAAGAAAGAAAAGGGTGTAGAGATCCTTAAATCAACAAACTCTCAACAGCCATGCCTTCAATTTCCAATATAAACAAAATGGTACAAAAAGAACCTAATAAAAAGAAGGGAAAGTTTTCCACAACCTGGAGCCATAATACAACTGCAGGGCATGGAAGGTCAAGAAAAACGCAAGAATCATACCCATTGCCATAAAACAACTAAGTTAAAGAGCCACATATACAACCTGAACATGGGCCACTCATCAACACCTCAAATACTACTACTTAAAGGAACAAATGATGAAATTATATATATACATTATAGTTTGTGCCCACACTATGCCGCAGTCTAGATCATTTTTTCCATTAAAAAAAAACAAAAAGACACTCGAGTGAAGCAAACGTGGTTTAAAAAAAATTAAAAAAATGCAACCTGAGGCATGGAACCAACTGAAAAAAAAAAAAGGATGATACATGGACCGACTTTAAAAAAGATCACAATAACCTACAAAAAAAAAATGGTAAAATAAAAAGTTGATGAAGTTAAGATTTCAACCAATCAAATGTGGAAGAATAAAAGTAAAAAGGAAAAGACAAAAAAACAACCTAGGACCTTACCGAACATGCCAAATTTGCAAATCATATTATGAGATGGGGATAAACAAATAAAAAAAACTTGTAGTTGAATTCCAAACAAATCCAATGGCAAAAAACAAAATTTAAAACAGAGTCAATTAAAAAAAATAAAAAGCAAAGCAAACAAAGCTTTATGATCTGGATCATGTAAATGAAACAAATGAATAGAAGGCAGGCCAAACATCACACAACTCAAATCCAAACAACTTAATGCTAAAGGACAGAGCACAAAAAATATTAAATTTAAAAAAACAACCCTAAAAAAAATTAAGCCAGCCCATAAATTTTCTAGTCCAGGCGATGGGGACCAGTATGTATAAATAAAAAGAAAATCATGCAACCCTTAAAAAAATTAAACCAGTCCATAAATTTTCTAGTCCAGGCGATGGGGTCCAGTATGTATAAATAAAAAGAAAATCATGAAGCCTAAAATCGAAAAACCTTAACCTTAAAGAAAGGAACCAAAAAAAAAAATTATCAACCAATACAATGTTGAAAGATAAAATCAAGAATAAAAAAAATCAATTTAGAAAACTTACCAAAATAAATCCAATAAAAAACGACAAATAAAAAAGCTTAGGACAACCTCTAGTAGACAGACAAAGAAAAGCCAAAATCTAATCACTAATGCTATAAATGATAAATGATGAAATTATAAAAAAAACAATCAGTTTAAAAGAAGGGGAAAAATTAATCATACAAACTAAGAATACCTTTTAAACCTGAGCTAAAATCTCAAACTCGCAACTAATTTTATGTTAAACCCGGATTGAATCAAAAAGTTCAATTCTCAACTAATTTAATATTGAATACCCAAAGTAAATCAACCAAATAGCAATAATAAAAAGACATGAGAAAACCCAGGTTACATTCAACATAAATAAATAATCCTAAACAAAGCAAATAAAATTAAATTAAAGAGGGGGGGGGGATCTGGCTAATCTTTCAAACCTAGGTTAATAGGGGGGGGGGGAATCTGGCTAATCTTTCAAACCTAGGTTAATCCCTAAAACCCAAAACCCGTGAAATCGTAGACTCGGGCTCAGTCAAGAAACTCAATTCCCAACTAATCTAATGTCGAATAATAGAAACGAAAAAAAATATCAATTTAAAAAATTTATCAAATCAAAAAAAAAAACACAGGGATTAAATTTGACAAGAAAATAAAAAACTTGAAGAAAACGAAATTGAAAAAAAATTATTTAAAATAAAATAAATAGCAATAAAAAAATATGGATTAAATTTAAAAAATTAATAAATTATAGAAGATGAAATTGAAAAGGAATTCTAATTTTGCAAATTGTTTTAAAAAATTATTCTAAACATTGAAGAACAGAATCCAAAAAAAATATCAATTTAAAGAATTAGCTAAAAATACCAACAAAGAATGACATAAGAAAAGGACTTGAGATAAAAAGGGTTATTTTCAAGATCAGTGAAAAATTTTAGATAAAGCAAATGAATAAAGATAACAGAACTCATTTTGTAATTGAATAAATGTTGAAAAATAAAAAAAAAATAGCTTAAGAAAAAGAAAAAAAACCAAACAAATCCGACACAAACCTCTTAAATTTGGTCTAATCTCTAAAACTCGAAATGCTTGAAATTTAAACTCGAGTTCAATGAAGAAACTTAATTCTCAACTAATTTAATGTTGAAGGATAAATCATGAAAAAAATATAAATTTAAAAAACTTGTCAAGGTAAAAAAAATAACAATAAAAAGCAGGGGCTGCCTACATGACAGCACGTGCCAACAAAGTTTATTAAAAATTTATTAAAATACAAAAAAGCCCCCGAGTTAACTTGTTATTAATTAAAAAAAACCTAAATGAAAAGACTAGAAAAAACCCTAAAAGATAGTTTTATTAATTTTGAACTAAGAGGTGATTAAGTAATTTAACTTTAATAAAAAATAAATAAATAAACATAAAAACCCCTAGGCTTAAGCCATCCTCTATTTTTTTTTGTTCCAAGGGTATGTAAGTGATTTAAATGTTCTAAAAAAATGAAAAGACTTATCTACAACAGAAAATTTGGAAATTGCATTGAATCATGGTAGATAATTTGGGAATTGCATTGAATCATGGTAAAAAGACACTCAAATCCTGCCCAGGGACAACTTTGTCAGATCACAATTCCATGAATAGTGTTATGAGTCTAGGGATACAGTACTTTTAGTTTTTTTAAGTAATTTAATATCAATATTAATCCTCTTTTTAACTTTTTTATATCCTTGCAGCGACAATCAATGTGGTGAAATCACTTGAAATGCAAGAGGCATGTGTCTAATGGGAGTCTTGCGCCCCTGTCATCACTAGCATTCGCCTATATACCTTAACCTGCCCCCTCCATATTTGAGTTTAAGAAAACAGGCCTAGTTTCTTCTTTCTTTATTATAGATAACAGTTCCACTGCCAAAATTCCATGAATTCTTAAAAAAAATCAAACCCAATAACCCCTCATCAACATACAAACATAGACGCAAAAACAAAACAAAACAAAAACACGTATCTTATAGGATGTATGGAAAACACGCCCAGGAAAATACCAAGCACTATATACTATTTCAAACCACCCATGATAAACAAGAAAACTGCGAACCCTAATTCCTCAATCTGAAAAATAACCCTTTTTGAGCAAGGAAAAAGAAAGACAGAAAAGGAGCATAGGATCGTTAATCAACAAAAACCAATAAAAGGGTCATAGCCAAGCAACCTAAATGACTTGAAAACAAAGCATTAACGAAATAACCCAACAACAGTGATGCAAGAAATAACACCTAAAACCCTCAAGTACAGCAATAAAGCACCAAGAAGACGAGATTAAGCAGGAACTTACATTAAGAGACAAGCAGAAAATCTGGGTTTTGAAAACCAGTGAGCGTTGGACAGAGTTAGAGGATTTTTTCTGTTTTAGGTCTGGAAAAGTGTGAAGCATACAGGGGTAGCGAGAGGGAGACAGAGAGACTGTGTTCTTGTCTGAGGTGTGTGCGCGTGTATAAGAGGAGTTTCCGTTTTAAGTAGATTTTTGGGTTTTGATTTTGTGGCCCAGATAAAATCTCGAGTTTGCAATGTGGTCCTTGTTTTGACTGGAAAATGATGAAAATAGCCCTAGTTGGGTTGGGTTATAACTTATATAATGGGCTAGACAATGAAAGATATAAATTGAGGACTCAGTTGCATGATTAGAGAGAGAGATCTGTGATTGATGAGTGAAATTCTGGAAAGCAATAAGCCTGCAATTCTGTTTGCAAATGGCGCACTTCCATTCAGCTATCCAGAAAGAAATGCTTCATAGAAAACCTAATCTATTTGCCAGAAATGTTGTCTGCATGAGGCAGTCCTAGTCCTCTGCCTATTTGCCAGAAATGTTGTATGCGTAAGGCAGTCCTAGTCCTCTGTCAACGTCCACGACTGACTAGTTTAAAACGAAGTTACCTTGATGTAAATTTTCTTCAAAACCTGAATCTTTGACTAGATAGATTCATGACTTTGTGATTAACTCTATATCTCTATGGAATCTAACACCTTGACTCATGCAGAAGACTCAGAGACTTAGTTACTGAAAGGATATTTCACTGTCAATGTCAAAGACTCACTGGTCAATAGGCCATCCTGACTTGGAGCTACTGTCTAACTAAGGGTATACTGAGTAAGTGCATGCAAAACTACTATAAACTTTGAAAGGGTATACTGAGTAAATGCATACAAAACTACTATAAACTTTGAGTTTCTCCATAAAAGGTGAGTGTTTGCCTATCAGGATTTACACACTGTGAATTAGCAAATAGGTTCGTGTATCGCCAAACTCTAGGTGTGTACGAGTAAAACATATCAGGAAACAACACTAAAATCAGACATAAAAGATGTAGGATGACGATCTGTAAATTTCACAAAGCAGTGAGAGGAACCAGGCCCCAAAGTTCACCAAGAAGGGATAAACCATGCATGCTTAGAAATGATTGCACGGATCATTACAAGTGCTTATCAAGGCTCCAGCTTCTCTGATAACTTTCATCTTTATCACTCATTAGAAATGTAACCGGAGATTTCAATACAACCAAGATCAGCATATTGTTATTATTTAACGATGAACTAGATAATTTGCGGAAAAATGTTTTTGCTAATGGATCTAAACATTGCTTACAAAAGAGGAGAAAAAAGGTTTCGCTGATGGATCTAAAAGAATGAAAGCATCCCAAGCAATGAAGCAGATGTGAAAAGAAAAAAAATAGCAGTGAACTTTGGGTTGGAGGAAGCAATAACATGATTTCCTTTGTACAGATATTCAAAAAAAACTGGATCTACCAATAACAAACATGTTTGCAAACTAAAGCATGCATGAGTTGAACTAAAAAATGAAGAAAACAATTGCTATTGATAGCCGAATCATGGACAGCATTAAGATCTAAACATACCGAATGTAATCCTGAAAATTCATTATTGATTGCGAAACTTCTATCGATGGACTGATAGATAGGTAACGTTTATTGAAACCTCGAACAGAACTTCAACGGCGGCGCAGCAATTTCCAAACACTATACCTAACAAATTCTTAGCAAAAACTAATTTCAGGTCAAGAAGAGGGATTCCAATCCTTAAATACAAGTCAGCCGATTATACATGTCTATGCATGAATGACAGATATGATTCATTCATGAATTAATTACTATCCATGTATGACATATATGTTATTGTTAGAGAAAATTTATGATGGTCAAATCCTGACCAAACATTTTACTATTTCTTACCATCTGTAAAGTGAAATTGAGCGTGTGCCGCATCTAGTTCCCAGATCATATCAGATTTACTGTCCCAACAATCCTTTTATATAGAATAGATTTTATAAGAAAATTTAGCAGAGATAGGTGCTCACACAATCCTTTAAATGCAGATTCACCGAAAGAGTACATGTGAACAAAGAGACAGTATAATAACATTTATGATCTCTACAGGTGTATAATCAGAGCAAAGAGAGGCATATATATAACTGCAATGTCCCACTATGCCACTGTCTCTCTACTCCTAAATTATCCATGATAAAATACTTCATGAAAAAATAAGTCCCTGCCACTACTAGGCAGATGGAAAATAAAAAAGTGGTTACAGAACTACAAGAAGAGAGCATCAAATTTGCTTCACTGTTTCTCATCATCCTTATTATCTTTCGTTGCCTCCCCCTCTGGAGCTGAACTAACAGCATTCATCAGACTGTCAAATTTCTCTGACTTCTCCAGCACAATCTCAATCTAGAAGTCAAGGAAAAATAATCAATCAGCTACCATAAAGAAAAGGATAATAAGAAAAATTCGTTATTAATTATCATACATGAGAGGATGATGAATCAAATTAAGATTCATAATGAGATTAACCATACCTTAGCCTTCTGAATCTGTCGTCCTTTGTTCTCATCTTTCATGCCAACAGTAGATGTCAAAACCTCTGTTTGGTCCATAAATAAAAATGTTATAAATCAGATATCCTCACCATGAATACAAGACTCAGTATTAGGAGGAGGAAATTCTTACTCTTCTCGATGGCCAGTCCATTGTTCTTCAAAATCTCAGCAATTGTAACAACCGTGGTGATTGCTGTAATAAAATGTAAAATAATTTTTAAACAGGCATGAAAACCACAATACAAAGATATCGTTTCCTTCCATCTCTTATAAAGATTTTCCGTTACCTCTATGGAATGGATTTTTGTTTGAAACCAGAAACAGTTCTTACACTAACATGATTATAAATGCATTTTACATAAATCATTTTCAACTGTTAATTAAAAATTGTTAAAGAACCATCTCAACCCAAAAGTTTAAGCTGTTAGGTGAGATCTCAGGATATAATTTATATTATTCTCTAACAAAAAAGCTCTCCATAAGTATGGTCCTGATAAACCAAAGATTAGAGAACCATTTTAGCAATCTCTTCTTTGGTCCTGTTACACTCATGTCTCTACGGTATTCTTCATGATACAGCAACAATTGCTCAATACCAGCTCATACTATTTCGTAGACTGTTAATGGCTTATTGTCGGCAGAAACTCCACCAGAAAGACAAAACTACCACTCCATACACAAATAAGAAACATATCAAAATCATGAGATGTGGCTTTGTAGAACATACCCATGCCTAAGGCAGAAAGCTCGACCTCATTATACTGCTGCATGTACCTCTGCAACAAATTCACAATGAATAAAAACCATAAACACGGTTCCAGAAGCTGAACAATCTAAAGGAGTATACGAGTCTAAACATTACAATGTTCACATGATCAGAAAACGTTAAACTGTCCTTTTAAATCACATTGTAGGCATGATTTTCTTGTAAGAATGACATCACTTCCACATTAAAGAAGAAAAGGAAAATAATCTCAATTTAATTATTTAAGTTTTGTATACTATCCCATTTCGTAGAGTTGTACCAGATGATAACCACATAATTAATCTTAACATGCCGACGAAGAAGGAAAACTTTAAATCCGCTTCAAAAGGATCTAACCATGATTCTTTTATCATATAATTTAAGAGATATATGACCAGAAAACAATATCATTTCTACAAGAAAAGTAAAAACAACTCATCTATATATAGGCAGAAAAGTTTCAGATGAGCTATATATGCTATAGTATTTGAATGACTGTAAACTAAAAGGCAGGAAGCTTTTGTTTTTCCTTTTTCTTTTTTTTCTTTTTTTGCTACAGAGAAGCCTTTACTTGATTCTCCAAAAATTCCCCCGTATCAAAGAAGCATTTATTGATCACAAAATAATGGAAATGTTGAGGATAGACACACAAGACTTGAGCACTTGAATGATATTCGTAGATCAAAACTAATCCAGTAAGTTCAAAAGATAAATTGAATTGTTTTTAATAAAATAAAAGTATACCAAAAAACTTTTCTACTTAAAATGCAGGATTTGATTATGATCCATAACAAATTATAAAACTACCTTCCAAAGATCCTATCAAAAAGAAAAGGAAAAAAAATTCCAAACAAAAACATACATGTAAAGATAGAAACAATCAAATTACACATTAATTAATTATACATTATACCAAAACATATAAAAAAACAAAATTAGTAATCCAAAACATACATTATTAAAAACAAGAAAAGACTACCCAGCAAAGAAAAAGGGGGAACCTTGGCGAGATTGACATAAAAGAAGAGAGGTTTCTTGGTGTTAGACACTTGAATCCTGTTCTTCTTTTGCTGGGCAAGTGCGATTGCTGTGTCATTGTTGACTGTTTCTGTCGTTGGCGTTGGCGTTGGAGTGGGTGCTACAGCGACAGTCTCCATCGTCATTGTGTGATCACTTTCTTTCTTTATTTCTTTCTTTGGATCGATGAACTTCTTCTTCTTCTTCTTCTTCTTCTGGTCTTGTAATATTAATATTTGTTGTGTTGTTTATAGAGCGGGAAAGTTGGGTGGTGGAATGGTAAGGGGGAGAGGAAAACCGTTATAAATAAAGGGCGTGAATTTTGGGTCTGTGGCTATTGAGGATTCTGACATTTGTTGGGTTTTTAGCGGTTCTTGACATGGTAAACACAGAAATAGCAGGCTTCTGCATTAGTGCTTCTCGTTAATCCCTTTTATATATATATATATTCTTTTGGATAATTAATATTAACTATTGATGTTAAAAAAATAATTGTTAATATTTATATTATTTAATCTGACCCAACATATTAAAGAAAAATAATAAAGATATTTTAAGTGAAAATAAGTAAAAAAAATATGAAATTAATATTACGAATCAGTTAATTAATCAAAAAAATTTAAATATGGTCAACTCAACCTAATTTATATAGTTTATATAATCAACAGACAAACAATATGACATGATTTTATTTCTTGATATCTACTTCAGTTTATATAATCTCGCGTGTCTAATTTATTGTTAAATATTTCAATGTTAAATTTAAAATTAATTTTATAAAATATAATTTTATGTTATTCATAAAACTAAAATTAAAAAGTCAAGGATTAAAATTGACAT